AAGTCGTAGCGGGGGCCGTAGATGAAGGGCACGCGGAAGTAGAAGAGCAGGTAGATGAGGAGGGGGCCGGCGTACTCGGTGAGGAAGACCTGCGGGAGAGGGTGAGGCACGGGCGCGTGGCCGGAGGGACGGCCAGGCAGAGGGACGGATGGAGGGAGCAGTGGAGGGACAGCGGAATGAAGAGATGGAAGGTTGGAGGCACAGAGGGATGGATGGGGGGATCAAGGGATGGATGGATGGTTGGAGCAGTGGAGGAACAGTGGAATGAAGAAACAGAAAGTTGGAGGTGCACAACGATCGATGGAGGAATCAAGGGATGGATGGATGGAAGGAGCAGTGGAAGGACAGCGGAATGAAGAGATGGAAGGTTGGAGGCACAGACGGATGGATGGAGGAATCAAAGGACGGATGGATGGATGGATGGAGCAGTGGAGGCACAATCAAAGACGGAAAGTTGGAGGCACAAAGGGATGGATGGAGGGATCAAGGGATGGATGGATGGAAGGAGCAGTGGAAGGACAGCGGAATGAAGAGATGGATGGAAGGTTGGAGGCACGGATGGATGGAGGGATCAAGGGATGGATGGATGGAAGGAGCAGTGGAAGGACAGCGGAATGAAGAGATGGAAGGTTGGAGGAACAGAAGGATGGATGGAGAAATCAAGGGATGGATGGAGGGAGCAGTGGAAGGACAGCGGAATGAAGAGATGGAAGGTTGGAGGCACAGAAGGATGGATGGAGGAATCAAGGGATGGATGGATGGAGCAGTGGAGGCACAATCGAACAAAGACGGAAAGTTGGAGGCACAAAGGGATGGATGGAGGGATCAAGGGATGGATGGGTGGAAGGAGCAGTGGAAGGACAGCGGAATGAAGAGATGGAAGGTTGGAGGAACAGACGGATGGATGGAGGAATCAAGGGACGGATAGAGGACAGAGCGATGGAAAAGAGTTTGGAGGGACGGAAGGACAGAGGCACAGGGATGAATGAATGGATCAAGGAGATGCACAGACAGGCAGACAGAACAACGGACGGACAAAGATATGGAGGAACGGATGGATGAACGGAAGCATGCATGGGGGAATCAAGGGAGGGATAAACAGTGGGATAAAAGGACGGAAGCACAGACGGACGGAGGGACACAGAAATAAACGGTGGGACGGACGGACAAAGAAAAACAGATGGGCAAAAGAACAGAGGGAGAGATGGAGAAAGGGATGGAGGAATCGGGAAGAATAGCAAGATGGAAGGACACGGGCACAGAGGAACGGATGAGCAAAGCAGTGGGCAGAGAGATGGATGGAGCGATGGATGGAGGGATGGACGCAGGGATACGGGGCTGGGCGGCTCACCGTCACCCAGCTGATCTGCGCGCCCAGGTCGCGGAAGTAGAAGGTGGCCGTGGTGCCCACGGGCAGGTTCTGCAGCACATCCTCGTCCTTCAGGGACTTCCCCTCTGGGGGTGGGTGGTGGGGGGGATAGGAGACAGTGGGTCACCCCATGGCACCCTGGGGTCCCCTGGGAGAGCCAGAGCTCCACCAGGAACTGGGGCGGGTGGTGGCGGACACAGCCCGGCCCCCCCGGGAGCCCGCGATCGTCCCCAGGGGGGGCACTCACTGGGGTCCAGGCGCAGCGACTGTCTGGCCGGGTACCACTGGGGGTCTGCGGAGAGAACAGAGATGGCTTTGATGGCACCGCTGGGACGTGGCCATGGTGAGGACCCCCACGGCCCCACGGAGGGTCCCCAGCCACAGTGGGGATCATCATGGTCCCTCGATGGGGATCTCCGTGGCCCCGCGGAGGGTCCCCAGGCATGGTGGGAGTCACCAAGGTCCCGCGATGAGAACTGCCACAATCCCATGAAAGGCCCTTGGCTGCGACAGGGATCTCCACAGCCTCACGGAGGGTCCCCAGCCATGATGGGAATCACCATGGCCCCATGGAGGGTCCCTGGCCATGACGGGGATCACCACAACCCCACGAAGGGTCCCTGGAAGTGATGGGGATCTCCATGGCCCCATGGTGGGTCCCCACCCATGATGGGAATCACTACAACCCCACGAAGGGTCCCTGGCTGTGATGGGGATCTCCACGACCCCAGGGAAGGCCCAGGTCTGCAACAGGGATCACCAAAACCCCACAGAGAGCCCAGGAGCGTGATGGGGATCACCACGACCTCGCAGAGGGCCCAGAGGGCTGTGACAGGGATCACCACAACCCCACAGAGGACCCAGGGCCACAACAGGGATCACCACAACCCCATGGAGAGTCCCTAACCATGACAGGGATCACCACGTCCCCGTAGAGGGCCCAGGGCCACAACAGGGATCACTGCAACCCCTTGGAGGGTCCCCGGCCATGACAGGGATCATCACGATCCCACAGAGGGCCCAGGGCCGTGATGGGGATCATTCTGACCCCGTGGAGGGTCCCTGGTCATGACAGGGATCACCACGACCCCATGGAGGGTCGCTGGCCATGACAGAGATCACCACGACCCCGGGGAAGGCCCAGGGCTGCAACAGGGATCACCATGACCCCCACGGAGGGCCCAGGGCTGCGACGAGGATCACCACGACCTGAGGGGAGGTCCCTGGTCATGACGGAGATCATCACGACCCCGGGGAAGGCCCAGGGCCGTGACAGGGATCACCACAACCCCAAGGAAGGTCCCCGATCATGACGGAGATCACCACGACCCCGTGGAAGACCCAGGGCTGCAACGAGGATCACCATGACCCCACGGAAGGTGCCAAGGCATGACGGGGACCCATGACAGAGGGGCCCCGGCCACACTTGGGATCCCCACGGAGGGTCTCCGGCCGTGGGGGGGACACTCCACACCGGCAGGGACGCCGGGCCGTACGTACGGGACTTGTTGAAGAGGCTCTTGATCTCGGCGACGGTGGCGTTGGGCTCCACCTGCAGGAAGCGGCGAGGCCGTGAGCGGGCGCCGGCGGGACCCCCTCCGCCGTCACCTCCGTCCCC